TATAAAAGTAAATGGAAACATAAGTGTGAATATTTATTTAGAATGTTGAAACATAGAACTTATAAATATTTGCTGATGTGGCATGACTCAAGCAGCTCCAAACATCCGTTAGTTATGTTGGTGTTGTTATTAGGTGCTACTGAATTGGTACAGACTCATAGTGACTCTATGCAAACCGGAACAAAATAGACTCACAACCATTTGAGCCCATTGTTGCTGCTACTGTACCAATTCATGTTTTTTGGTGTATTCCTTTTTTTCTCCGACCCTCACTTTATCAAACATGATATCCTTTTCCAGTTACTGGTCCTTCATGATAATATGGCTGAAGTATGAGAGATGAAGTCTGGCCATCCTGGCTTCCAGGGAGAATTCTGGCTGTACCTCTTCCAACACAGATTGGTTTGTTCTTTTGGCAGTCCATGGTACTTTTATTAGTCACCTCCAACACCATAATTCAAGTGTATCAATTCTTCCAAAGCCTTTCTTATTCACTGTCCAATTTTCACAAGTGTATGAGGTTATTGAAAGTACCATAACTTGAGTCAGGTGCACCTTTGTCCTCAAATTGACATCTTTGCTCTTGAACACTTTAAAGAAATGTTGTGCAGCAGATATGCCTAATGCAATAGATACCTAATGTGAATGGAAGGACATATATAAGAGTCTTTACTCATTTTATTCTAAAAGTCCATGGTTAACTCAATATTCTTCACCAACATCATATTTCAAATGCATCAATTCTTCATGCAATGTACAAATGACACATTTTTTTGTTGTTGTTGAAAGTGAAGCGAACTAGAAGCACTTTCTGGTGAAGATCAAAGACTATAGCCTTCAGTAAGAATTACAACTCAACATAAAGAAAACCAAAATACAACTGGAGCAGCTTTATGATAAAAGACATAAAAGTTTGACATTGTCAATGATTTCATTTTACTTGGATCTACAATCAACACCAATTGAGGAAGCACATTAAGTGATGTGTTGTATTGGGCAAATCTGCTACAAAAGACTTAAATTGTTCAAAAGAAATATGCCATCTTGAGGACTAAGGTGTCCTTGATCTAAACCATTATATTTTCAATTGCTTCATATTCATGCAAAAGCTGAACAATGAATGAGGAAGATCATTTAGAGATATTAAAAAAGAGAGATCTAGCTTTAAATTCAAATGGGTACATGAAAGGAGTCCTGTTGTGAGGCTATAGGATAAGCACTGGATTACTAACTGCAAGGCTGACAGTTCAAACCCACCAGCTGCTCCTCAGAAACCATATACAGGGTCAATAGGAGTTGGAACTGACTTGACAACACATAACAACTTCAACAACAGACACAGTACATAGTTTACCCAAGCTCTCCATACTTTCAAAATAGAAATAGGAATATCAATATGACATATATGAGTTGAATAAAATATTTATAACACCATGCTTACTACATATTTTTTCTTAAATGTTATCATTCAAATAATACATTGTAAAATCATATATAATGTTTACTACATATTTTTTCTTAAATTGTATCATTCAAATAATGCATTTTAAAATCATATATAAAACAATAATGCCATTGTTGTTTCATTATGCCTTTACAAATGTACTACTTTTACTCATATTGAACTGACTTTTGTTTTTCCCCTTATGACTTTAGTCATTGACTGAGTGAGTATCTTTACATCATGTAGGTCTCAATGGGACTGTACATGTAATTTATGCTATTTCTTTTCCTTCAATTGCCTCAATCATTTTCTCACTGGGAAATCTGTAGAGTGTCCTAGATAATTAGAAGGCACATCAAGGCAAGTTTTTTTTAAAAAAAGTTTCTCAGATAATTTGCTATAATCAGCAAATTATTCCCTACTTCCTCTGGGAACATTAAAAAAGGCTGAGAGCAGCCATAAATTCTTCCTAAGAACAAAAACAAAGCAATAATTTGGGAGAAGAAAATCTAACTTTTCACTAAAGGTGAGGGGGTAAAAAAAAAATTTTTTTTCATTGTGATTATCAACTTGTTGTCGGATGCCTTGAGGTTAGCAGTCCAGGGCTTATCCAACAGTGCCACAATGACCAGATTTTGGTAATTTCCCATGATTCATGGCTTCTGACTGTAGAACCTTATGGCCACGCTTAGCTAATCCCTTTCAGTATTCATAGATACTCACTACTTCCTTCATTGAATGGGGTTACTTGGATCCTTAAAATGTTATCAGCATATCATACTTTGTTATTTGAGTATATGCCTCAAATCTCTTTGATATTTTTAAATGACTTGTGGCATTTGGAGACTGCAACAGAAGAGAGAGTTGGGAATATCTGAAACCCTTATCATTAACTAAATGAACTTAGTAAGGATAGGACTACCAGGAAATTCAATTACATTAGAATTTTACATAAAATAGATTGTTGCTAGTATAAGTATGTCCTATGCAATATTTCTTTAACAGAAAATATTCTTTGGTACAAATATTTGCTTAGAAATAGACACTTTCAATATGCATATGACCCGTGCAGTATTTAATAAACTGAGAATTGTTTTAAGATAGTTGTTAACAATACAAGAACATGTTTTTTTTTGTTTTTTTTTGTTTTCATTGCCATTTTTGCTATTGTTTGTATGTTGTGTGTTTTCTTTAGATTATTCATAAGTAGGTTTGGGTTTTCAAAATAGCATTTGAAACTGACTGAACAAATTGACAAATACATGGTGTGTTTTTTAAAAGATGCAAGCTGTAGAGAACATGGGAACCCCAAGTAATCCTACCTAATAAAACCACATCTACATGCTTGTTTCTTGTCTATTCAGAATTGAAGTGTTTTAAATGTATACATTAATGATGATCAGAGTAAATCATAGATCTGCTACACACAGGAAGATTGAAAGTAATAAACGAATCAAGACATCTTAAGAGAGAGGTTATTGATTGTCAGTAAAAAGGTAGATTGCCTCAAGACACAAGAGAATGATTCTTAGAAAACATTGAAATTAATAAGTGATTGGTGCAGTACTGAGCAAAAATTTCTTTGCTCAATCCAGTGCATCATCTCCTATACTACAATGAATTCCTATGATAAAAAAATCCCATGATTAGCAAAAATTTCAATAGAAGGTTGGCTTATCATTCTTAGATTGTGGTGCAATAGGAACCTAGAAGGGAGAATGGGACTGAATGGAGAAACAGCAGATAACTTTATCTAGGAAGAATGGGTGGAGGTAGCTAACACTCTCCAGTACCCTTATGCTAGATTGTCCAATTTCCTCAATCAGGCTTCCAAAATTGACGCCAAGTATTAGCAGATTCCTAGCTGCCCGCCACTATCCTAAAAGTTCCATGTGTTTCAGGACCAAAAAACATCCTAACAAATTTAAAAATGAGTAAATCAAATTATAAATACAAAGTGAACAGAAATGCAAATATTTCATTAGAAAGTGCTATTAAATGCTGTTGAGTTGGAGTTGGTACTGACTCATAACATTCGTGTATAGACTTTCTGATTAGCGGCTGGTGGGTTTGAACTGCAGACCTTATAGTTACCGGTCCAACGTTTATCCTACAGTGCCACAGTTATCATGTAAAATGTTTTAAAATTATAAACATACAGATAAAAATTTCAATTAACAGAAAATTCACAAATATAATATTTTAATCACTTAATATACAAATGCATCTAAAGGCACTGGGTGGTAGAAGCTTTCCAGGACAGATAGAATTAGTTAATGACATATGTTGTTGATGTGGAACCATATAATGGACCCACTAAATATCAAATAAATGATTAAAATCCCTTAGCTGGCATCCAGGAATACCTGCAAATGCTCTATTGCAGCCTACTAATAGATGAAGTGCTTTAGAATTGAAGATAAAGTGGGATGAGATGAACTTGTTTTAAATGATCATGAATAAAAAATGCATCTTTCCCTGTTTTTACAAGATATATCACTATGTGAGGCATATTTATGGTGTAATAAAAAAGTTGACAGCATGAGCTCAGGATCTGTGGTGGTCTGCTTCTGTAAAGATTGACAGTCTTGGAAACCTTAGTGTGGCAATTCTAGTCTGGTCCATAGGGTCACTGTGAGGAACAGCTCTGCTCTGTCTGATATCCTACAGCATCACAACAAGACCCCTGTAATGTGCCCATGTAAATTTCAAGCTAGATCTTTCTATTTTGATAATCTCCAAATGATCTTCCTCATTCATAGACTCCAATCCAATGGTTTATAACCATGTAAGTCCTGTACAAATGAGAAACCCTAAAACTTAAGTTTTGTTAACTTCGCATTATCTCTGTCTGTCACTTTAAGAAGATGGAAAAATCTCACTAGATGTCTCAAACAAAAACTAAAATATACTAAAGAAAATTAAACGTATCTCCATATTAGTTATATAGGTTTACTAGGAGTCCTCGTGCGGCGTTGTGGGTTAATAATCCAGACTGCAAAACCACTTGAACTGCAAGGTCAGCAGTTCAAACTCACCAGCTTCTCCTTGGAAACCCTATACAGAGTTCCTATGGGTTGGAATCGACTCAACAACACTTAACAACAGCATTACTGAAGCTACTTGAAGTATAATCTACATTGTATTAGTGTATGTGCTACATAAGGATCCACAGATTTTGAAAAGTATTACCTGTTATTTTTTTATTTTAGGAAAATCAGACATAGGAATTATTCTTTCATATTCTAGTGTTAACTCAGAATCGATTAGATGGCACTTAACAATAGTAAATGTGAAGACAAGGTCTCCATTCTGTCTACAATCAGTGTATATAGATAATATTACCAGAACACTGGAGTACTGGTATGGCACTGTAGGATAAGCACAGGAATGCTAACCACAAGTCCAGTGATTCAAACCCACTAACCACTCCTTGGAAACCCTATATGGGGTCACTATGAATTGGATACAATTTGACTGCATTTAAGAATAACAATAGCAACTCAATGCTAATAGCTCTGTCTCTATTTCTTCCCTGAAGAGATAACTGGATTAAATGGGCCAACAGAATCTAACGGTACTGAATGAATTCATTCTAATTGGAGTCACAAGGAACCCTGAGCTGCAGTTGCCCCTTTTTGGGGCCTTCCTTTTCATCTACATGATCACGGTAGTTGGAAACATGGGTTTGATCGTCTTGACCAAGGCTGATTCCCGCCTACACACACCTATGTATTTTTTTATCAGACATCTGGCCTTCATTGATCTAGGCAATTCTACTGTTATCTATCCCAAGATGCTAGTAAATCTTGTTGTGGGTAAATCTTCTATATCCTATTATGAATGTGTCACACAAATGGCTTTTTACATTCTGTTTATTATCAGTGAACTCTTCATCCTGTCGGCCATGGCCTATGACCGCTATGTGGCCATCTGTAACCCTCTGCTCTACAATGTAATCATGTCTGAGAGACTTTGTCATGTGCTTGTGGGCATTCCATATCTCTACAGTGCCTTTCAGTCCCTGATGATCACCAGCAAGATTTTTACATCAACCTTCTGTGGCTCTAACATCATCAGTCACTTCTATTGTGATAACGCTCCCTTGCTACCTTTGCTCTGCTCAAATGCACGTGAAATAGAATTGTTGATCATAATATTTTCAGCAATTAATTTAATTTCCTCCCTTCTAGTACTCCTGGGGTCCTACATGCTGATACTGATGTCTATATTTCGAATGAATTCTGCCGAGGGCAGGAAAAAGGCATTTTCAACGTGTGGTTCTCATTTGACAGTAGTAGTTGTATTCTATGGGACTCTATTATTCATGTATTTACAGCCCAAATCTGCTCATTCATTTGAAACTGACAAAATGGTCTCAGTGTTTTACACTTTGGTCATCCCCATGCTTAACCCCTTCATTTACAGTTTAAGGAACAAAGAAGTAAAAAATGCCTTCCACAGGATCTTCAAGAACTGACACAAAGTTTGCATTTGATGCTCAATAGCCAACATTGTCTTAATATATTTTGAAAGAGGCAAATGCCACTCGATAATATTTCTGTTATATACATTTTCTATAGTTCCAGAGTAAAGACTATGTAAACTATGTAAAGCACAAATGGATTTTTTGCCTTACGTTCAGCAAAATTTACTTTAATCATAATTTAGATCTCAAATGAAATGTATGCCATTTCCAAGAGTCCTAGTTTCTCTTTCAGTACTTCCTTGCGTGATTCCATAGAAGCTTAGACTTTGTCCAAAGAAATAATTACTATACGCTGCATTAGTAAAGGATGTGTGTATTTCTGTAAATGTTTTCATAGAGATGTGGGAATCTTCTGAATCTCATTTTCTTTATATTTACTAAACCTATAACAATAATTAAAGCAGCATTGTAGACAATTATCCATGTGCATGTTGATAAGATAAATATTTATTGGTCTTGTGTCCATCGTACTGTGATAAACATTTCTTCCTAATGCTGTACTCAAATATGCATAAAAGAGGGTATAAATTTTGATTGGATCGTATTTAATTGGCATCCTTTATTGTGATTCTTATGGATATATTGTACATGCAGATACTAGCTGGGAATAACAATGGGTAATATAAATTTGAATTAATACAGAGAGGGTGGAGAATGGAAAGAAAGGAGAGAAAATATATTAAGGATGCATGGGAAGGACTGAAGTATTTACGGCTGATAATAATTGATGCAGAATATAAGGATAAAAAAACACCATGTGAACAAAGTGAATATCAACACATTTTCTAATTCTTATTCTCAATGTATTGGAGAACATTTTGAGGGTAAGAATAAGACAACAACTTACCAATACAGCATGTAAACTTTAGGTGAAACAATAATACTGCTTAGCACTCACATACTCTATTAATGGTAAAATGGGATTATTGTTATCCATTTATAAAATAGGTATATAATTCAATTCTGCCAAATGAATAGATACTCTATTAAAATAGTAAATATTTTTTATGTTTATTGACTAAAATCTTTGGTGGCAACTGTTTATTTTTATGCTTTTTATTGTGATTTGGGTGTATTGCTGAGGGAACTGTTTTTTCCATTCCTGGATTCTGAGCTTCATCTCAGGGTAAATGCTACACTGCTGCTATTCTGGATGATTGTTCTAAGGAATCCACACCTCCCTGATGTTAGTGTTCATTTCATAGGATTATTGTTGAACTGAAATCCATTCTAGGTGGGAAAGGTAACTATGAGTTATGGTCTTGGGAGTCCTATCAATCTGTATCAAAATAGTGAGCCTGGTGTTTTTTATGATTCTGAGTTCTGTAGGAAACAAATATTTGCATAATTTTAAATTCTTCCCTTCAAATAAACAAAAAAGTTATATTTTCCATGTTTCCTTCATCTAAGCCAAAACAATTAGATTCATTAAAAAATTATTAATCAACTTATAATTTACTCAGAACAAAAATAAAATAATGTTTACCTTCTGGTCTTTCTTGGCATTGGAAAAATTCTAAGAAAAACTTCTGATCTGCTTAAAAGGATGACTAGTGAAATGAATGTAAACCTGTTTTCCTATAATGTGGACAGTCAGAATCTGCTGTTGATTGTGGTCTAGCTCCACCAGCACTAGTCCACTAGTCTAAAGAAGTACAAGGTTTAGTGAATCTAACGTGCAGTTATTTCTTCCTCTGCTTGGATATTTAATAATATCTGACTGAGATGGAAAGAGCACACAATACCAATACTGCATTAAAATGGAAACTTCATCAGAAAAGTGGGATAATGAAACATTCTGGAAATAATAGGAACAGTTTAGGAATTTCTGAACAGCAATATATGTGAGAAAAGCTATTGTAATAAGACAGGAAAACAGAAACTCATATATGTAATCAAAACACCACATTTACAAATAAAATTATACATTTATGGATATATTTAACTCAGAGTGCTATTGAATATGTAGGAGAAAGAAAGGCTTTTTGCTCCCTTAAGGATTTACAGCCTCAGAAACCACATACAGTTCCCTATAAGTAAGAAATGACTTTCGACAGCAAAAACAAAATCCAAAACAACAGCATGTATGTATTTGGAGACCTGGAGGAGCAGTGGCTAAAGTGCTCAACTGTTAACCAAAAGGTGGGCTGTTTCAGCCCATCAGCTGCTCTGTGGCAGAATGATGTGCCACTAAGCTTCTGTAAAGATCTTCAGCCTTGGAAACCCTATGGAATATTTTTACTCTGCCCTATAGAGTTACTATGAGTTAGAATGGACTTGAAAACAGTGGGTCTGGTGTTTTATGTATGTATTAAAATGTATCTGTCCATTTATATGTAATGTTTCCAACCCCCAAAGATAAATAACAAATGGATTGATAAACATATGAATAATAAACAACAATAATAATGGAAAAAAAGAGGTATTTGGCTAATGTCAGGACTAAATTTGCATGGCACACTCAGAATGGAATCCTTTCTTGCATTCAACAAGCAAGGTTGTATCATCTGCATATCACAGGTGGTTATCTTCCAATCCTGACATCACTCACTTCTTCATATAACCCAGCCTCTCATATTATTTGTTCAGCATATAGAGTGAATAAATATGGTGAAAAAAAAAGTCAAGCTCTACACAATTGAAAGCCTTTGCATAGTCAATAAAGTAGAGGTAAACATTTATTTGGTGTTCTCTGTTTTCATCCAAGATCCATCTTATGTCAGCAATGACATCCCTTGTTCCACATCCTCATTTGAATCCAGATTGACCCTCTGGCAATTTCCTGTCAATGTACTGTTGCAGCCATTGCTATATTATTTTTAGCAAAATTTTAGTTACATGTAATATTAATGATACCATCTAATGATGTCTGCTTTCTGTTGGGTCAGCTTTCTTTGGAATAGGCAAAAATATGTTTTTCTTCCAATCAGATTTCTTGGCATAGGTGAATGAATGCCTCCAGTTACGCACCAGTTTGTTGAAAGACTTCAGTTTGTGCTCCATCAGTTCGAGGAATCTTGGTCTTTTCCAATACTTTCAGAGTACCTTGGATTTATTCTTTGAATATCATGGGCTTTTGATCATATGCTACCTCACAAAATGGTTGAACATAAACCATTTCTTTTGGGTACAGTAACTCTGTGTATTCTTTCCATCTTTTTTTGTTGCTTTCTGCAACATTCAGTATTTTGCCCATAGAATCCTTCAGTAGCAAGTTGAGGATTGAATATTTTCTTTAATTCCTTCAGTTTGAGAAATGATGAATGTGTTCTTCCCTTTTGGGTTTCTAACCTGAGGTCTTTGCACATATCATTATAATATTTCACTTTGTCTTCTCAAACTGCCTTTAGAAATTTCTATTCAGCTCTTTTGTCTCCTTATTTCTTCTTTTTGTTATAGTATCTCTATGCTGGAGAGCAAGGTTCAGAGTTTCTTCTGACATCCATTTTGTTCTTTTCCTTCTTGCTTGTCTTCTTAATGACCCTTTGCTTTCTTCCTATGTGATGTTTTTATGTCATCCCACAACTCTTTTAGTCTTTGGCCATTAGCATTTAATTCCTCAAATCTGTTTTTGAGATAATCTCTAAATCAGGAGGTATGTGTCAAAAGTCATATTTTGGCTCTCATGGATTTGTTTTTTTTTTCTTCAGCTCCAGGGTGACCTTGTATATGAGGAATTAATAGTTTTCCATAGTTTGCTCCAGGTCTTGTTTTGGCTGATTATATAGAGCTTTTCGATCATCTCTTTCCATAGAAGTAGTCAATTTGATTTCTGTGTATGCCATCTGGTGAGGTTCTTTTTCATTTTGTTTAACAAAGGCATCTATAATTAACAAGTCACTGGTCTTACAAAGTTCTATGAGATCTGCAGCATTATTTCTATCACCAAGGTCATATTTTCCAGCTACTGATCCTTCCTCTTTGGTGCCAACCTTTGCATTCCAATCACCTGCAATTATCAATACAACTTCACTGCATATTTGAACAATTTTAGACTGAAGAAGTTGGTAGAATTCTTCAATTTCATCACCACTAAATTTAGTAGTTGTTGCAAAAATTTGAATAATAGTTGTATTAACTGGTCTTCCTTCTAGGCTAGGCTTATGAATATTATCCTATCACAGACAGCATTATATTTCAAAATATATCTGAATGCTATTTTTCTTGAATTCTTCAATCTGTTATTCCAGATACAGTAAATCATATGATTTTCAGTTTCAAAATGGCTAATACCAGTCCATTTCAACTTAGTAATGCCTAGTATATGAATGTTTATGTGTTCTATTTCATTTTTGACAACTTCCAATTTTCTCAGATTCATACTTCATACATTCCATAATCTGGTTATTAATGGATATTT